TGAAATGATAGGTATAATCAAAACTGTTAAACTCTGCATTTTCATATTCATAGACATTAAATAAAAAAAAAAAAAAGAGAAAAAAAANAAAAAAAAAAGAGTAAAAAAAGAGTTGAAGCAATAAAATAGCAGAAAAAAAAATACAAAAGCAAACAATTTCTTCTTTTTTTCTGCAGAATTATATTCTAAATTTACTTTTCTTATTCATCCGAAAGGAAAGAAATACTCCTGATTTTTCTGTTCTCATTTCGGAATAAAAAAAATTTGCCTATGACTGACTTGCTTCAGTTAGAGTTTTAAATTGATAAAAAAATAAATAAAAATTCTGTAATCACAGAAGTTTAAAACACAATTCCCTCTAGAAATGTTTTTTCTTTCATTTTTTTGAAAATGCACCATAATTTTTAAAGTACATGATAAAAGTATTTTATATTATAATAAAATATGAATTATTAGAAATTCAGATATTCGGAACACCATGAAATTGGGTGGCAATTCCATTTTAAAAATTAGACCAATTCGGTGACGCAAACCGTTGATTTTTTTAAAAAAAAAAAGTAGTTAAAATCATGAAATTTCATGACTAATTTTATTCAATACAGAAATTCATGACTTTCCAGGTGCGCAGATACGCTGGAAATATGTCACTGTAAACATAAATAAAATCAACCTTATTTGCACATAAAAAAACTACACCTATTAAAGATAACACTAACAATAATGCTAATAATTCAAAAGTCATAATTGCTAACACAAACCTGACTTTTATTAAAAATAAAATTATTATTTACATACCAATATGTTCCAGCACCCTGAGAAGTAAGATCCATTCCTACTTCAGGACTATAATTTTCATCATCCATAATTTTGCTCAATCCGAAATCTGTTATTTTAATTTCCCCACTGCCTAGTAAAATGTTTCCTATAACAACAATCAATTATCAGCAAAATAAAGAAGTAACATTCAATCAATTCAAAATAACACTAGATACAATATACTAATAGATTATTATAAATAGATAAAATATACTATTAACTGATAACAATGAAGAAGACAATGATAAATGTACAAATTATTACATGTGACAGAAAAAAAGAAAAAAAAACACAAGATGATACTCTAAAGATAGGCTGTCTCGAACTGAAGTGTTGCACGATTCTTAAATGCACTCATTAGTATGCATTCATCTATTTATTACAGCATACGTATAACTCAAACTTTAATCCCAGATTTTATGTGCTATTTAACTTAAACTAAACAATAAATAAATCTTTAATACTACAACAGGGTGCATAGTCAAATCTTTCAACAAAAACTAAGCACCTTTTGATGACTTTTTAAGTACTCAAAAAATATTTTTAAGCACTATATATATTAACAAAATGCAAAATAATTTTCAGACTTTACATAATTATGATAAAATAACTAGTTTCTATAACTATAGAGATTTTTTGGTAGGATAACAGAGGGTTAAAAAAAAAAAAAAAAAAAAAAAAAAACACTTTTAAAGGCTTTTAAAAAAGAAAAATCGAAAATAAGCACTTTTTAAAAACGCTATACACCATGTACAAAAATAAACTATCTAAATAATAAAAATAGTTATCTAGTTTTTTTAAAAATTCAACGTGAGTGCAGAAGAGAATAAAAAAACCAATCAAGTTTTACTTACATTATAAATGAGTAAAAGTTGGTAGGTTTCTTCGGTTCAATTAGAAGCTTATAAAATTGAGGTTCTATAAATTTGAAACACTCAAGTTTTGAATTATCATGTATTAATGCTAAGAAGTTTGCAATTATTGAAGATGAAGTTTCTTAAATAGGAAAAATTTAATAACTCGTTATAATTCTGCAAATTTGTCAGGCTGAAATCCGTATTGAAAATAATTATTGAATTACTGTGAGAAAAAGTAAATATCAGCTAAAAACTAACTTAATACAATAAATAAAAAAAAGACACTTTTGAAATTTGACAACTAAATAATCTTCAAAACATTTTCGTAGATGCTATTTTAATAATAAATTATTTCTGAATAGGTATAAATAACTAATTGAAGAAGAATGTTATTACCAGGTTTGAGATCATAATGTATAATAGGTGGTTTGATTTCATTCAGGTACTTTAAGGCATGAACGACTTGCATAATAATACACCTGGCTTCTCTTTCAGGAATATTTTTATGTTGTTTGAGGTAGAAATCTAAATCATGACCATCGCAGTATTCTAAGACTGTACAAAAGCTGAAAAATAAAATTTCAGCTTTTTGAGCAAAAACTAGTCAAAACTCTAAAAAGAAATTAATAAATAAATGTTATAATATTCATATCACTAGGAAAATTTCATATTATATAGTATTTATCAATATTAAGTCAGAAAACAATTATATTTCAACAAGGGATTTTGAAAGTAGAATTTTATTTAGGAATAATGGCCAAATTTTAGAATTGTAATATTTTTTTAAAAAGAATAAACAAAAATTTGAATTTTAGTTTATTCTTGTCGAGATTCTCTTATTTTAATCAAAATTCATGACAAACGAAATGGGGGCCCTGCTTTCAGAAACATTTGAACAATACTTTGCTAGAATAAAAAAAAGGTAACTGTTTGCAGTTACACATATATATGTATGATTGATTCTATAATACCTTTAAAAATACTTTTTTTTATTTTAAGTTTTAAAAAGGGAGACAAATTAATCTGTCATCTAAATGTTTTTAGAACACACGGGTAATTTCTATACACTAGTCACGATATAGCTGTTCAACCCTAAATAACTAAACTTCAGTGTTAATCAGTCACTAATCATTCAACTAATAGACTACTAAGTAACAACTATTGTATTTTTATATTTTCTTTAATAATTCCAAATAAATTTTCACAACTTAAAACATATAATTCTATTAAAAAATAGAAATAGGGTAAAAATTATTGTTAGCACTCTTGGCAGATGTTTTAAGTAGAAATAGCCTTGCAGTAGTAGTTGCATATGTATTTTGTCATTCTGTGTTTCTTACTATGATAGAAAGTAAAACTATTACTTTATTTGTCGCTTGTTTAGTCGTGTCTTCTATGGGATTTTCAATATTTAGAATATCATCACTGTTTAGTTGGATGTAACTAAGCAATGACGATTACAACGTATCTCAAAAAGTAGGTATTAGTTATGACGGTGGAGTGAGTGATGTAG